CAGGAAATGGGGGCCCAGGGGGAGGAGATCATAACTGAGTTTGATGTGGGCAACTGAACTTTAAGAGGGGCAAGGAGAACTGCATTTCTGCTGGCCCGTCAGCCTTGGAGGGAAATTACCAGGTTCCCTCTTGGTAGCCTCTATAATGCAGAGGAACACTGCATAAATAAAGATGTACAGCAATGGAGAAAACAGCTTTAAAATACTGTCTTTAAAAAGATAGATTATGCATCCACATAACAGTTTTAATAATTTTGTTTGTACAAAATTGGCAGGCTTAGACTAGTACTGTGTTTTTTGCTGTTACTGAGAAAACACTGACGTTAGTTGTGATCAGCCAGTGGTGGTTATTTCAGTGTGGAAAGTCTGATCCTTAACAAAATGTGGTGAAAGAAGTTTACAACTTTTTAATGTTTTTTCTTTCTCTTTGCTCAATATTAGCTTTTCAGGTAAAATCTTGTTCTGATCTGAGGGCAGCAATCAGTAGTGCTGTATAAGCTGATGTGTACATAATCTTCCCATTTTTCACCATAGGTTTGTCGCCGTCTCTCCGTTTGTTTTCTCATCTGATATTTCTCAGAAATGTCTTTTTCACTCATCTAAATCCAGTCTGGAGCTATTATATGACAGACAGATTACAGTGTTCGTGTGCTCCCATACTGAACCAAGCTACAAATGAAAAATAAATCTTGCCTGATCTTGAGAGTTGGTAGAAATGTAACTATTTCCAACTGTTTGAAGCCACAACTTTTACTTATTTTAAATGTGTCTTCTCTCTCAAGTTTATGACTTCCCACACGATTTGTCTCGAAAACACAAAGAAGAAAGTGAGAATAAGCGTGAAATTTGTACTGCTTTCAACTGGGCTTGCAGAGCTACCTGCAGTGCATGGCTGTGAATGAGAACTCCCAGACAGACCCCTCAGTCATTTGTTATTGCTGTGATGCTCTGAACCTGTATCATGTTACCTTCACAAATCTAAAGTTGGACCTCACAGTTTTCCATCTCTTCTTCTGTTGTCCAGAAGTTCATGTAATTCTTATTTTTGCAGTAGTATTTAATAATCCCTAACAAGGATTAGGGCTGTGTTGTTTGGCACAGCACACAAAGACAATTTCTGCCCTTGAAGTCCTACAGTCCAGAATAATGAACAGCACATACTGGAGAAGAAAAACAGCCAATGGGAATAAAATTTTAGATGTCTAATTGTTCATAATCACAGTAGAAACCAAAGGCCACTATTTGACCTTATAATGTGCCTTCTGCTGATCTTTGTGACCCCCTTAATAGTGAGAAAAATCAGGTTATGGAAGCTAGGATCAGTTCCTTAATTGTGTCACTTACCAAGATTGACTGTAAGGTGACAGGATCAGTCTTGCCAATTCTTGGATGCAGCTCTGTCCCCAAGGACCAGCCATGGGAAGATCTCTTGCCTGCGCCTCCTATTCTTTTGCTGGGCTGGATCCACATCAGATGCAGTTAATTTTCACAATTAATGAAGGATACTGTGATCAAGACTCATACTAAAGCCACTTTATGCCATTTCAGAGTTATAACATGTATTTTAAAAAATGTGACTAATTTACACCCACTATCTGTGGGTAAAAGTCTGTAAATCGGCCTCCATGTCTGAGAAACCTCTTGTTAATAGAAAGTTAATAATTATAAATATCATTTTTCTCAAAACCAAGAAAATGGATGTATTTAAATTCAGACAGTACTGTGCAAAATAATAGCTGAACTGCTGAGTTCCTCATTTCCAGCACAGGCCCTCCAAAACTGTGTCTGTGTGTTCATGGTCAGTGCAGGAAAGTTTGCCCAGATACCACTAAAGATCCAACTGTTCCATGACAAGGAATATTTCCCTTGTCTGAGCAGTTCCTTCAGGCTGTGATTTATTATTATTATTATTATTATTATTATTATTATTATTATTATTATTATTATTATAACATCTACAGGCCTGGTTGTGCTGGGTATTGTACAAACAAGGGTGACAGCTCTCACCCTTCAACTCTGCTGTCAGAGACAAGGTAAAGGAAGTAGGCAGGTAAAACAAAAGGCTAGGGTTGAGGAGGGATGGAGTAGTAAAAATTAGGCATTGGAATATGTAGTACTTGGGTTTTTATAAATTTATTTTTATAAAAATATGTTTAATTCCTGAGGTTTAATACACATCAACATATATGTAATGTTGTGAAGGCTTAGAAAAAAGGAAATTCACACAGTTATTATATGTATGAATTTCTAGTAATATATCAGAACTGTAGGGATATTCCAGGGATTGATCAGTGTTGCTTGAATTTTTTTCCACCTTTGGTGTCTCTGATAGCCATTTTCAAACTGACTTTTGTCATGACATTAGTATAATTCAACTCAGCTGTATTTTGAGGTTGATGTCAGTCTGATCAGAAAAAAAAGAATTATGCAGTATTGCTCACTTCTAAAATTAATTTAAAGCTTTCTGAATGCCCAGATCACAAATGTTCCTTACCTAATTACCTAATGCCCTCTTTCAGTGTGTCATTGTATTACTTTTTTTCCTCTTTTTAATATTATGGAAATGTAAAATAACTTGACCTTGAATAGATACCTTGTGGGGATTCCTTTAATATATGCAGTGAATTAGATGAATGCCCGTTGATAGCTAAAAAAATTTCAGCTCTTCTGTTTCATAACAGAGCTTTGCACTTCAGAAGCAGAAAGATTTCTGGTGTGAAAGACCATTTGAATTTGGTCATTCATTGCATTTTTATTAATTTGTAATCTGTCAAATGAATAAGCGATCTCTCTCTCTTCTGCTGATTAAAAAGTTCTATTAAGAACCTGGATGATAAATATATATGATATGAAATGAACTGAGTTATAAATCCAAAATGTAGACATAATGTAATAAGCCACCTTTTCCTCATCATCATACTCCATTTTTCTAATGTGTTGACACCTATTGTCAGCTTAATTATTTTAAGGTAAGATCAACCTTAATTAATCAAAGTAGACTAAGGCTGTCTTTGCATTATTTAATTTTTAAAAAGAAGCAGAATGAATGTATTCATCATCAATACAGTGCACATAAATTAAGATACAAGAGCACAAGAGGTTATACTAATAAAATGAGTCATAGTAACCAAGTATGTAGTTGGGGTTAATACTTCACTGACACAATGAGGGACAACTTGCTGGAGTCATCTCAGAAATAAGCGTTGTTTTGTCAGCTGCCAGAGATGCCAAGCAGAAAGCCTGATATAATGCCTGGTGTGCCAGGCAGGCAGAGGAGAGGGATGACCCTAAAGTATAAGAAAAATGGGCAGATGTCAAGCTTATTACCAGTTTTTTGAGTTGTCTAATTCCTGAATAAATTGCCTCTAAAATTGTGAGTCAAAGGCAGCCATCTTGTTAATCAGTTTAAGTAATCAAGTAGTATCAGGGCATTAGAAATAATCCAAAGTTTACTTTTAAATAGCTTGGATTTTGTGTGGTGGTTTTGGGTTTGGCTTTTCTTTAATGGATTCAAACTATGTTTATCGAGGGTCTGTTTTTTATAAGTGAACACTTTTAGGAAGTCGCTGTTAAGCTATAAGCTGAGTTTCATTCCTCCCAATACAACCATATTAGCTGGGCTGTTGCACCCCATGCATTTGAAGCCTCTGCTTATTCCCACATGAACTGTGTCCTGAGGAGAAACAGGATCACAAACCATGTCTACTATGGCAAGCCCTGGAAGAGAAGGGGAGTGTTGACAGCACCTTCATCCAAAAGCCAAAGAAGTCCTTGACCTGCTTGACTTGAGAGCCAAAGGCAGGGAAAAGCAACATCTGCAAAGGGGATGGGCAGGGACTGGCCCCAGCACTGACCCTGCTCTCACCTCGTTAGCTCCAGTGCATGTCCCCATTTGGCATCTCAGGTAGGACTGGGAATATCATTTTTGTGTCCACCCCCTCACTCAAGGGTAGCGTGCTTATGTAAAGACTTTGGAAGTTACGTTTCACATCTAGAAACAAATCAGTTTAAAATCCAGGATTAGTGGGAAATCTCTCTCATTTTCCCTTTTTCAGTGTGTGTGTGTACGTTTGGGGGGAAAGGGTGGGAAAAATAGGTAAATTCAGATCTGAATGGGGTGGAGATCACTGGGTTGCTGGTGTTCCTGTCTTGGTGGTGCAGCCTCCCTTTTCTCTCACTGCAAATCAGGCAGCTTTTCCTAAAGTGAAGCTTGATTTTTTTTTTGATTATTTTTTTTCACACAGCTTTAATGCCGTGTTTTTGTGGCAATTATGTAAATTATATGTCACACCACTGCATATTTTCCACATCATTTGATTTGACCTTTAAAACTAATAAGAGAATTATCATTTTTATGGGTAATTTGTGTTTCATGGTATGAGACAGCAGGACAGAGACTGATGTGGAGAACATCAGAAAACACAGTAGTCATGTTGCAAGATAGTACTGGAGGACCATATCCAATATGCAACTGTGGCTGCTGTGAGCTCCTGAAGAGTAAATTAGAAGATATATTGTGGAATAAACTTCCCAGAAGGGAATTTTCTTTCTAATAACCTTCAGTGAGGTCTGGGCTAGCCATTGTTTTTTTGGTTCATAATTGTTTCTAATACGTGCATTGATATCTCATCATAATTTATATGTAGATATGGATAAATATTTCAGGTAATGTAATAAAGAATATTACTCTTTCCATACAAATGTTGATAGGTTATGCCTCATGATACATATGCATGTCTTATCCCACTTAATCACACCAAACCTCTAGCTACATTCTCCTTAAGTAATCAGTTCTGCTGGTTAAACATACACTGTGTAATTTTTAAAATTTTTTGACTAGTTTTAAGGCTGCTGTAATGAACTTCTCTATGCATCCACTTGTTAAACTACAATGAAAGGCAAAATGCTAAAAGCAAACAGAATTCTCTATATATTTTCTTCCCCGAGAGGTACAGAACAAGCATGATGTTAACAGTTTCATCAACAGCACTGTAATACTTCTTTTTCAGCCTCCTTCTCACTTAGAAAAACCTCTGGAAAGTTCAAAGTGTCAAGAAAATTGTTGCAGAATTGTGATAAGACACGATATTCAAGCAGTGAAGACTTCCATAACACTACCTTAATGCCTTATTAATCTAACATGTGTCAGGTAAGATTTTCTGTGTGTTTAGGATGACTCCTGGCAGGAGCACAGGATTTTCTACGTGGGCTGTGGTTCAGGGAGGGGGAGGACAGAGTCTTATTCTTCTGACAGAAAATTAGTATTTCATATGCATTTAGCAGTAATGGGGAGCTACCCATACACAGAGCCCTAGGAAGTGATGGGAAGGGTCCCCACCTGTACTTTGACCACACAACTGATTTTTATATGGTGTTTAATTCTCCTTATTTTTTGATTAATTCCCAACAATTTTATTTGGGTTTTGTTTCATTTTTGCTCTTTCCCTGTTCTTCAGTTCCTCTCTAGACTTCGTTCTAACAAAATTCTCCTGTTAGAAGAATCTGTTCTGCTTGTTCTGCCACATTTTAGGTTTAGTAGCTCTGTGTCCCACCTCAGCAGAGCCACAAGACAGTTCAAGTACTTGAACATGAGGTTCTGGTCTACGTTTACCATGCAATGAAAATCTACCTTACAGGTCAGCTCAGAAACCAAATGAAAGCAAAAAATCCCAAGGCCTTTTTTGCTTAACCTGATTAATTTTGCAGTTATATAAGACCTGTGAGTATCCTGTAAATATTCTTCTCACCTTGAAAAGAAGCTTGCACCTGTTTCTCCTAATCTTGCAATGCATTTGGTTCTTTTCCCACCTTCTGCTTCTTTCTTCAGCTGAGCCCACTTTTTCCTTTTCCTTGACACAGCATATCTTCAGGCTTTTCTTCACATAGAGAAATGTAACAAAAAATACCAAAACCATCTGACTTGAGCATAGAGGCACCCAAAAACTTCATGCCAAGTTCCAGCTTTTTCAAGACAAATTACAAAAATGCTAAAAGCTTAGTAACTATAGCAGCGCAAACACCACCACTACAATATGCCGCAACAGATTGTTCATATGTCACTATTTTTCCAAAGTTCCTTGGCAAACATTTCCATCAGTAAACAAGTCAAGTGAAAGAATTGTAAAATGGCCAGCAAGAAGCCTCACATCTTCTCTGGGTAATGAAATAAAATTCTGGTACTTATCACTATTATTCTGTTCTTCAGCCCCTCTTCTTTCACCTGTGCTGACAGACTGCAGTTGTCTTCGTTTCTGCCTGCACAACGAGGCTTTTGCCTGTCATGCCACCGTCTTCTTCATATTGCAAGTTTATCAAAGCAATGTCATGTCTGAATGTTGGCTCACATTCTCACCTGGGGGGTAAACTTACATAGATCCATTAACTTTGTCAGAAAGACGACAAATTATGTGAGCTGGTGAGCTGGCACTGCGTGTCTTGTGCAGCATGGTGCACATGGATGGAACCAAAAAAAAACATTAATAATGCCAGTTCAACACTTAGAGACAGATTGATGATTCTTTTTGGTCTTCTATTGTCTATTCTGCTTTGCAGCTCAATGGGTTGGTGTCATCAGAATTTATTGTTGAATGAAGTGTCGGGGGAAGAGGCCAATTCATGCTGTACGTTAATGATGGGTAAATGCTGAAAGTTTGAGAGTTCTTACTTGATTATTACTGGAATAATTTCTTAAAGCTGAAAATATGTATTTCTACCATGCCAATACATACAGCATCTGAGTCTGGATTCAGAAATGGAATTGGAATTGGAAAATCACTGTATTTATGGAAAAAAGAACCTAATTTACCAACACTTGAAACTGTTCTTCTTCGTTAGAAATGGAGCAATTTTTTCCCTGTTGTTTATAATTACTTCTCATTTGAATGTTCCTTAAAGTTAAGCAAAAGTACAGTAGATTGCATTATAACATTTGTCTCTTCGTATATTGAAATAACCTGGAAAACTCCAACATTCACTGAAACCAGTGGAAGTTTTGCCATGAATGAATTTAACTTCCAACTCTTAATGCTTTCACTTAGCACATGAAAGGATGTTCTGGCTGTGCTTTGACTTTGGCATTGGCATTCCAAGCTGTAGGGATCAGTGAAAAAAAGTGTATGAGAAAAAGAAATATTTAATTAAACACCCAATCTGATTAAAAACAATACAAATCTGAATGTGTAAATGTATCTTTTACTAAGGAAAAGAAAAGGAGCTATAACTGGCCACAGATGTAAAATGTTGTGGATGTATCCATAACATATATCTTTAATAATAGAGAAAATATAATATTTTAAAAAATAAAGATTCTGGGGGTCACACAGGAGAAAGAATATTTTTTTTCTGGGCAATTCAGAACTCAGCTAAGTATCTAGGACTTTCCTCATGTTCAATCAAAGTGCATAAGCAAGGCTTGGGACAGGGAATGGAGCACAGTAACCCTTGCTCCCCCTTTCTGGCCTCATCAGTGCTGAATTCTCCTTTCATGGGAATGGTGCATCTTCTTGGGATGGGGCAGTGGAGCTGCCTGTGGAGCTGACTGCCAGGTGAGAAAGGCTTTTGGGTTTGGGAGGGTTACATCTCTTTCCCTCCCTATCTAAAAAGAGGGAATTTGTATTCCGTTCCTCAGGCCATGTTCTTATGGATATACTGTAGTGAAAGAAATGGGCAGTGTTGCTGGGGAACAGGTCTCCTTGTAAAGCCCACTGCAGTTTGTAAAGGGCATGGGGAACTGGACATTCTCATGAGCCATAATATATATCAAGTCATGTGTTAAAATTAATTTTATTTTATTTCCCTTTCTCTAAAAGAGAGAGCCTTACTCCAGAGTTCACTTCAGCTCTGTCTCTTGGATTAAAAAGGGAGGGGGGCCTGCAGCAGTTACTCTGTTGTTCCCACATGACTGGCCACAGTGTTTATCATAGCAGTAGCATAAGCAAAAGCAATCATTGTCAGAGTCCCAGGCTGTTCCCCTTATCCACGTTTTAGCAATTTAACACATTCATCACTTGCTCTTATGCCACCCATCCTTGACTTAGCAAGCATGATGGACTGCACAGGCAAGCCTTTTTATCAGAGCTTTCAGAAAGCTGCATCCATACATCACCTTCCCTGTTTATTTCTCCGAGTGCCTTTTTGCAGTGCTCGTTTCTTCTCATGCAACATCCCAAGAGCTGTGGTAGAGCAGTTTAACTATGACTTACTTAACTGGTGTCATGAACTGAGACTCCTGCCCTCACTGGCCTGAGTTAATTGTGACAATATTAGCAACAGGATTTTAATCTTAACTTCTGTTCAAGGAACCTACACAGTTCACACAATGAAATAGTGTTGAACAGCGTGGTTGGCCTTCTCTCCAGCATTTATTCCTGCATAGCAAAGTAGTGAGTTCTCAACAGGCTTAAAAAGGCAAGAGTACAATACAAACCCATTTGTGACCTTCCTGTTGATTTATTCTCATCAGCCAACAGGTGCCTCATACAGAATTCAAACTAATAAATGCTGAAAGACAAAACTAGCAACCTTACAATGAAATGTGTCAGGACAACTTCTAATCCTCTCTGTTTTCACAGTGGAAAGATGAGAGGGGGGAAAAGAATGGAAAAAAGGAGGGCATGGGAGACAAAGAACAAAATCCTGAAAGAGTTAGTGCCCCAGAGAACTGCATAATGATTAACAATTCTTTTTTCAAATGATAAGTGATTCTTTCTCAGTCCTGGATGACAATAGAATTGTAACTCCATCAAAATTACTTTGAATAGTCTCATTAATGACACACAGTCTTGGTTTGTCTCTGCCTCAATGTCTGATAATATTTTCATACTTGCTATTGAATGCGTGGTTTAACTTTGTCCTCCCCATTTGTACAATACATTCATGCATATCATATCATCTGCTTTTGTACTTGGATGTTCAACAATTCAATAAAAGGTTAACAATAAAAGGGGGGTAAAAGAGGGGGAGGATAAAATGAGGGTTTCTTTTCAGTACAAGCTAACTAAACAATGGAAAGTGTATTATATGATCTGTAGAAAGCAGCCTACTTCATCTAATTCTAGCCACAGAGGATATTTAGAAACCACAGGCCTTAAATATGATTTATTGAAGTACAATCTTGCCTTCTTTGCATAGACTAGAGGTATTTTCTTCTGAAATAGCTGATTAACAGAAGCAGCTCCCTTAAGAACAGCTGCACAGAATATTCTTGTCAAGCCTCTACCTTGTATAAATATTTTTAATTAATAGATGCCTTCATCAAATACAAGAAAAAATTAAGCATTAATGCTCACCAGAGATCCTGCTATTAGAGTGATTATTTTAGATATCGTTTCATTTGCAGATGTCATTAATTTATGTTTAATAGATCGCTAATTTAGTTTTATCTGTCTCTTGCTCGGTTTTTGCAGAAATTAGCAGGCTGTTCTTCCTTCAAAGCCTACCAGCTTTCCCCTCCCACTTCCTTCAGGCTCTCTACTCTCCACAGAGTGTGTGTTTAAATTAGCTGGACCACTGCAGGCTGAGATACCGATTAACCTGCACATCTGCCACAAGGGGGGAGTTAACAGTGTACCTGGGGGACTGGGAGCAGAAAGCAGAGTTACTGCTGCGAGTCATCTGCGCTGTTTGGGAAGCAGTAGTTGTGTCACAGAGGAGAAGGCTGCCCTTGAAGTATCTTCTGCTCCAGTGAGTGGCAGTGGGTATTGTTGCACAGTATATAAACCTCCTTTTGTCAACTTGCATTAACCACAGAATTGACTTGTAAGACATCTGTACTTGGGGGGAGAGAGAGATGAGCGATGTCCTGTCTGTGGCAAAGGAAACACCGGTGCTGCAGCACAGAGAGGAGATACCGGAGCTCGTTTCTTGGAAAACTACATTGGTGTGTTCAAAGTTTTACCTCAGCTGCTTCTGCTTTATAGGTGTTTAAATGAGGGGTTTCTGTGCAGCTGCACAGGAGAAGGTGGCTCCCAGAGCCACATGTCCAATAGGTGAGCGTGAGCTCAAAGAGCTCTTGGTACCAGTCTCAGCAGTTTTAGGCTTGTGCCCACAGGGTTCAGTGCATACAAGAGCATTTCATGATTATGCTGTTGACAGGCTGAGAAATTTGGGGCTGTTTGGCCTGGAGAAAAGAAGGCTGTGTGGACACCTCAGAGCAGCCTTCCAGTATCTGAAGGGGCCCTACAAGGGAGCTGCGTAGAGGGACTCCACCAGGAGCTGTAGTGACAGGATGCAGAGTAATGGCTTCAGACTTAAAGAAGGGAAATTTAGGTTAGATATAAGGAAGAAATTCTTTACTGTGAGGGTGGTGAGGCACTGGCACAGGTTGCCCAGAGAAGTTGTGGCTGCCCCATCCCTGGAAGCGTTCAAGACCAGGCTGGATGGGGCTTGGACCAACCTGGTCTAGTGGAAGGTGTCCCTGCCTTATGGCAGGGAGATTGGAACTAGATGAGCTTTGAGGTCCCTTCCAACCCAAACCATTCTACGATTCTATGTTGCTACAAGTGTTATGTTCAGGATAGCAAGAGATGAGGATCAATATTCTCTCTCTCTTTTAGACTAAGACAAGAAATGAAGGAATGGAAAATTTCTTTGCTCTGGTTTTGATCTGGCGGCTCTGGTACAGAGGAATGACATGGCTTTTTGTTTCACTCACAGGGAAGAGCTATGAGATGAATCTAGATCTTCTTTGTTCTAGTTCCTTGTTGTATTATTACCTATGAGTGGTGTTTCCTAAAGGGCAGCACCATAGTCCAGTCAGTTTTGCTCCATCGTAGTCAATAAGTACTTTATCACTGACTTTAGAATAAGTAGAGTACACAGTCAACCATTACAAGACAAGAAACTGCTGATTTAATATTGATTTAGTGAGTAAGCTTCTCCAGCAATGTGTCTCAGCTTCTAGCTGGGGATATCTCTAGCTTTAATTTTAATCAGATCTCTTCTAAAAGGGATTAAAGGATGCCAGTTGTGATGAGGACCGTGGCATTTCTACCTTCTGGAAACATTTTTTTATTTTATTTCAGCAAGTTCATTTAGTATGAGCAATGCTTCTGTGGGGATAATTTTGACTCTTACTGTTCTTAGGCTGAATATGAACCATGCCTCGTAGATTTAAGGACCTGTCTCAGTCAGAAAACTAAGAATGTTAATTCATAAATTTTCCAGTAAGTGGCTGGATGGAGAAAGATTATAATATTTTTAAAAGACATATGCTGTTATTAAGTGCATTATAGTAACAAAAGACAAATATTAATGCAACCATTTAGGTATTTCTGAAGACCAGTTGGATTGTGGGCACCATAACAATCTTCCAAGAACACACTGTGTCTAGGAATGGGATTCCTGTGGTTTGCCAGTGAATCTGAAATAGCCAAGCATAAACTCATGTAGAAAAAAGTCTGTTCATAGCAACCTAATATTATCAACACTCCTAAAATGAACATAAAGAATAACTGCAGAAATGAGGGCAAAGCACAGTTGCCCCTCTTGTGCCTTTTAAGTCAGCTCCAGTGACAGTGGGCTGCTGAAGATGCTACGTCCTGACAAGGAGGTCAAGGAATGCAGTCTGAGCATCATCCCCTACATCAGAAACTCTAAAAATTTTCTGATAGGAATTTTCCTAATGCCTAATTCTTGGGCAGAACTGTGAGCAACTGCAGAAACTCAAGAGCTTGACACTAAAGGTATGAGGAGCACTGTCTTAAAGACTTTGCAATAGCATGAGATGTCCTGTCCATATCTAGAAGTCCAGTTCTGGTCTGTTCACTTGCCAGATCAGCAGACCTCACAAGCTTCAACTCAGAAACATAAAAAGTAAAATATTCTGAAGTAGCAGGGAATTTGATAAAAGAAGGGGTGGAGACTGCAGGGCAGAATCCTAAGTTTTAGTTAAATCTGAAAGCAGATTAAAGTAACAAGAAAAGGTTTGATAACTCCATTATGAATGTATTAGCTGTAAATATGAAATGCAGCCTGCTTATAAGGAGCTGTTGATAATGTCCATCAACACTGGAATGAACAAGTACTTGTATTGATAGGAGTCCTGGCAACACTCCATAGTGCCCCTCTCTACAGTGCCCTCTCCAATGCGCTTACAGGGAAGACTTGCAGAATGTCATTCTTGTCCACAGCCAATGCCACAAGTTATTTTTGCTGGTAGGGATTTTAAGTTTCATGTAGATGCCAAGGTAACCTTGGCATATGTTAAGGAGCTCTGGCTGTGATGGTTCCTCTGTGGGTGACAGCCTGCTCCTGAGGAGAGACTGTCCATCACTGTATCAGCCACATATGGAGATGAGTGTCTGTGAAGAGCTCACACAGCTTCAGCAGAACTCAGCAGTCTGGACAATTCCCAGCATCTTGGCAATGGAATACAGTCATCTCTTCAAATAAATAAAGTCCTACAAGAAGGAGGCCTGCTGTATGCAAGATAGTGAGACCACGGATTTGAAGAGTTGCTGAGAGTCTGAAAAAAGATTGGTTCTCTGCTGAGACTGTGGTGGTATTTGTTTGGTGAGTCCCTATTGTGCAAGGACTTACGTAAACTATAAAACTTGCCCTCAGACTGTGAGCTGTGTCAACTACTGGACCAGAAACAAATATACTGCCTTTTAATATATGTGGGCTACATAGTTTTCCAGTAAAAACCTGGCCACCGGGATTTTTTTCTAGTGCTACACAAAAAATTTTGCCCATTGATTGTTCCAGATTAAAAACCTGCTGTGCAGTATATGCTTTCAAAAAATACACCCAGGCATCACAATGAAGGCAAGATTGTCTTTATTTGCAGAAGAAATGAGAGTTCCTTATTCACTCTCCAGTTTCCAAACGTTGTTGCAGGTTGAAGTGTCAGGGTGGATGGAACAAAAAGGACCTCAGGAATATCACGACTGTAATCAGTGTCGTGTCCCTGATCTTCTGCCTGTTCTTGTTCACCAGCATGTGAATGTACCGATCACCATCTTAATAATCTTCGGCAACTTGGGGAGATTGGACTCTGGTGACAGATTCCACGCAAGATGAGGGTTTGATACCATGTGAACTCTCCCCAGAGTAAGTAACTGTAGATATTTTATTTTTTCTGTTATCACAGAAAAGAAACCTTTTGCATATCTCTTAATCACCGTCACTCTCTTTCATCTGGTAGCACGGTTTTGTGAGCAGCTGTGTACAGAGGATTGATGTGTTAAGGTAAGTAACAGCAGAAATTACATTTGATAAGTTTTATTTTTCCTTTCTCTTGTGAAATTAGCAGCGGTGTTTTTCCAAGCATATTTGTTTAGGATGATTACCTGAGTAACTTTGAGCTATAAATTCTTTTTGACATCTGTTCAGAGGAGGTAATAATTTATTTGGCATGTCAGTCATGTGATAGCATTTCTGTTCTGTTAATGGCTGAGCCATATTTTTATCAGAATTCTAGGTTTCATTCTAGAATAGTGAATTTGAAACTGTTTTTCTGTGTGGATTGTTTGTGGTCTTTTCCAACAGAAATGCTTATTTAAAAAAGAGTTTTAATCTAGGCAGTCTGCTTTCTGAAAAAGAATAAATTTGTGTAAATGGAATTACAACCCCTAACTGGATTTCAGGTTTGGTCAAATAATCTGGGCAACAAAACTATAAGCATTTTAATGACAAAATGCTATCATACTGTCTTCTGTCCTTATTTCTCTTCCTGGAAGAGAGTCCTAAAGTCTACATTTCATATTGTATTTCCTATATTTCGTAAGAGGAGAAACCAGCCTTTTTTTGACTCCTGCATATAAAGGAGTGCAAATTCCATGAAGTTTCAAGAATGTGTCACAAATCCAAAATATTATTGCTTTTGGCTAAAGCATTTAAAAAAGGGGATTCTTCCATGAAGTTTTCTGCAGACAGAGGATGGTAGAAAAGAAATTGCTCGTTTTCAAGTGACCACTACAGGAATATTTGCTGGTATATATCTGACATGCATGTCCTCTGGGGAATGCCAACCACAGAAGTGAATAGAGACAAAATTGAGTTAAAATTGGTATCCATGCAAACATCTGTAGCTTTAGCTCTTCTATCTGCTAATCTGAACTATACCCTCTTTCAAGTGGTGCTTATTATGTCTTTTGAACAATGAATTTGTCCAGAATGAAGTCTATTTTATTTTAAATCTTAAAGAATAGAGGGGATTTCACTCTGACAATGGCGATTAATTGTAAATCTTTAAGTCTGTTAAGGACTAGAAGTGTTCAAAATTATTCTTGATGAGCTACGGAACCGATTAATCTTTTTTTCCTTTTCTCCTATTTCTGAACTGATCAGGTTTTCTATGAATGTGTTAATTGCTCAAAAATTCTTCTAACTCTTTTCACTTAAAAAAAAAAGCAATTATTAAAAAGGCTTTGGTTTTTTTTTTTTTAGGAACTATCTCCTGCTACTAGTTCTTTCAGAATCTGTTATTTCTTTTTAGGCATTTGATTTGTCTGCTTAAGCAAGTCCTCTGTCTCTACACTATGGTTAGAAAATTTAGTCTGTTAAAATGAGAAAATCACTGAAAAGATCTAACCCATAATGACTTGCAATATTACTTTCCAGCATGGATAATTATTCACTGACTATTTGTGAAGTACTTAGGATTCATAAACATCTTCGGGGCTAAAAACGTTTGTCATGCAGATACACATATGCGGTTGTTAATAATAAGCCACAAATAACAACTGAATGAGCTGACAGTGCTTATGACAAAATTATTCACTATTTTTTTGTAGTATTCAGCCAAGTCTGCTTAGTGTGTATAAGTAACTACTGACTTAGAGATTCTAAAGGGTCATTTTTCTGATTTCCTAGGTAGTGTGGACCAGGTACTCTTGTGTAGTTATGCTGCATGATAATTATATCCATGTGCATTTATTGTTTTAATTCTGCTGAATGTACCTAGACTAAAAAGGTTTAAATAAAAGCAGAAAAAATCTGGTATAGAAATTAATGAGGCCTAATGAGAAAAAAAATGAATATTTAGTACAGCAGTCACATATTTAAACAGTGCAGCACTTGTGTCATAGTTAAAATTTTCTCCATATTCAAGGTGGAACAGTTTAGATAATTTCTTATTCTTTCTTTTTGTGAAATCGTGTAGAATCCTGATGGGAAATAGATTCAAGAGAACAGTTGTTTCTCTGTAGCAAATATGATTGTCAATGGAAAGAAATGCAAGACAGCCATCTGTTGGCTTGTGCAGCAACCTGCTTGTTTCCAGGTCCCAGGGTGGGCTGCTGGAACCCCGGACAGGAACAAGTACTGTGCTCTTGGTGAGGGCAGATGGTGCTTGTGGACAGTTTAAATTCAGGCTGAGCTTAAGTCCACTAAGAAGTAAATGTATGCATGTGAAAATGGGTCCTGGGAGTGGTGCAGACATCTGGGATTCAGGCAAGGCTTTGTCATCAGCAGGTTCCTGGGTGTACAGGGGGTTTCTGCATCTTTTCCCAAGTAACAATTCTGTGCTGCAGACCACTGTGGCCAGCTGCCATCAAAGGTGGTGGGTTCAGCACTGATCCTCTGCTTGGGGAGAGCAAATGTGCAGCTGATCTCAACATGTTGTGACAGTGCAGTACAGGAGACTTGCTTGTCCCTGGACTTGTGTGAACACCTTCAGGTCTGCATTGTAAAGAACATATGAGTGAAGATCACAATCATTCATCTTTAAATAGTTGGAGTGAGTGTAAGGTTTGAATTAGATAGTTTGGATCTTTATATTTGGTAGATTGTGGACTATTGTTAAGATGTTTTCCATCATACAGATCATTAAGTGATTCAATTAATAATTGGGCCTTTGGTTGCCCAGATCTCCTGATCCAGCTAAACAAGACTATCATCATGTATCATTGCCATTCATGCTGAGGGTCTGAGCCAGCATATCTTCTTTCCCATCTCAGATACTCTCCCAGGCTTCTATTTTGAACTGATTTTGTACCTCTCCTAGATCTGGGACCATTTAGATAGGCTTAATCCCCAACACAAAGGAGATAACTTCACCCTGCTGTCTGCCTCCAGATCTTTTTATCAGATAGAGACAAGATAGTGGATATACTGGCTCTCCCTCGTACCACAGTCTTCAGAGTAATGCTTGAGCACATGTTATCTCTCTTTCAGGTGACAATAACACAAAGGAGAGCTCTTGATATGGTACCATGGTGCTGTGTGTTTGGGCAGGGATTTTGTGAGCCTCTCACATATTGCAGCCCTCTCTGGCCAGTACAGCTACATGCTGGTGCTGAGGATTAAGCTCCAAACCACAGCAATTTCAATGGAAATTTTATCAGTGTTCTTATCTGGCACAAACTGTGCAGTTTTTGAGAGGTCCCTGGCTTGCTTTGTTTTGTTGGGGTTTTTTTGTCCCTGATGAGGCCAATTCCATTTAAAGCTAGAAAAAAAATGGAACCAGTGTTGAAAATCACGCCTTATATGTTCCTCTGAGTACAGATAGATTGAATTTCAATTAAAAATTAGAGTGAAATAAAAGGTCACTTGTTAATTCTAATGTAATTTTAAATGAGTGTAAATTAATTTTGTTTTTTTCTCTGCCTTTAAGTTCTTTCACATGTTCTTTTGCAGGTCAGTGAAGTCACAAGAATGGAAAACAACCAGTGGTTGTCAAAGGTAAAGGCAGAGGAGCAAGGGGGTCTGAACCATAAGAAGGGTACCCAAATAATTGGTTATGCCAAATAATGGAGCAGAAGGCTGTCCTGGTTGAACTGCAATAATGATTTGTTTGCTGCATTTTGTGGCAGGCATCCACAAATATTGTGAATATTTGACACGTGATTGCTTTTGTGGAGATATGCAAGTTGTTTGCAAACACCAAGCATTTGACCACTTCATTCCATGGGATAGTCATGTCTCATATTGCCAATTCCTGTGCTGTTTCCCACCCCCCACGTCCCCCTCCAATAATTTGGCTTAGATTGTGACAGCCTGTGGTTGTGATGCATTTATCCCACATTTTATTATCAATAGATTAATATTCTGTTTTAAATGAGGTTCAGCTAGTTCTGAACTGATAGAGTTGGAAGGATAAGGGATAGGCCAGTTTGTTACCATCCCTACAGATCCTACTGTGGGCTGAAAGCCTGCCACTCAGGTTGTAACTTACTGAGAGTTTTCAAATTGTATAGGGAGAATTTATTAATTATAAATTCTCTAGCTACTAGCAGAGGATCAGAATTACTCTTTGATATGACCATATACCCTTAATGCACAAAAATGTTCTCAAATGTGTACAGGAGGTAAATCCAGTGGTCTCGGTTCAAACTCAGTGAACAATTCAGTTGGAAAGGCATTCCAGTCTCTGTGTATGCAACTATTAGAGTAGGAGTAATCCTGATATGCCACTTGCTAATAAAGAGTCCTCTTGCCTGAACACAGAGCCCCTGAAAGGATGGAAGAAAACGGTTACACAGTTTCAGAGGAGAAGCCTGACAGATTGTGTGCTAGTTTTGAGAAGCTGGCCTTTCTCCTAGGTAAGGTTTTACTCTTGCTTCATCAGCAAATTGTAACAAAAAAGGTCTAGACTGGTCCTGATTTTATGTTATGTTTAATATGAATTTTATGGCTTTGCCTCCATTTTAATCTATAAAGTCTGGATTTTTCCCTTTAAGTTAAATGACCTGGTTTTGAAATTGCTGACTGTTACTCCTTGGGGGTGTTCACTTCCAGAAGCTCCTGGGGAAGAAGTGACTGATCCTTAATGTCAGAGGAAGGTACAACTTTTATCCTGTATAAATAACTTCATTTTCAGAAGAAATCTGGAGTGGGATATGGGAATTGGTGTATTGGTGTGTGTTGAAGGCAAGGAAAAAGTAAAACAGCTTCAACAAAAGATGATGATAGGTGCATTGTGTTACTGAAAGCAAAAGAAAAACCCCTAAAAATTTGGAAGCAAAAACAAACCAATTTTTTAAATAGAACAGAACAGTTTCCCAGTAATTCTGAATCTGTTTGATTCTGTTAATAACCTTCTGTAAGTTTTGCCTTTGACCTCAAAACTAAGATAGAAGAAGGTTTTGCCTTTGTTGTTCAAGACAGATGAGCTTGTTAGAGCAAGCTAACAGATGTGGATTGTGTCACTACAAATACGAAGGGGAAGGTGACACTTCAGGTGCTTGCCTCTGGCTAAGTCTGGGAGGCCAATGCTGCGTTCTTATCTAGGCACAGCCTTTCTGCTTACCTTACAATAAATTAAACTGACTACTTGTCTTCATCAGGGCTGGAGCAGCTTTTTTTTTTTTTTCCCTCAGGGTAACTAATACACCTTTGTTTTCCTGAGATAAAACATTGTGAAGGCGAGACACTTTAGTTTACAAGATCAGTGCTGTACATCTGCCTAAGGTTGGCTTATCTCACAGTGACACTGAAGTGCTCTGACATTGCTGTCTTTTTTTCTTTTTTTCATTTTGTCTTTTTAATTCTTTTTTTTTTAAATACTTGAACAGCCTTCTGTGTGCTAATTACCCCAGCTAAACTCAGGGTGTCCTGAGCAATGAATGATTTGTTTTAACTGCAGCATTCTAAAGCTCTGCTGATATGGAGATCACAATGCTGATGGTAAAATTCCTATCTGGGAAGTAGTTTGTCCCTTCCCATAGGCAAGCAATGTTCCTTTCTCTCCTGGTTTTTACTCCATTACATATTTCAATTTGATTCTCTTGTGTGGCATTTTTCTGTTCTCCTTCCAGGATGTAACTGCTCAGATTTAGCTACTTCTAAAGTGCTTTTCCAGCTGTGCCACTGTCACCTGCTCTCCACTGAAGGAGATGTAATTAACTTAGGACCAGTATTTGGTATCTCTGCACAATTTATCCTTCCACCTCAGAGTGGCAGCCTGAGATTTTGTGACTTCTCTGCACTTAAACTGGCAAACTCCATTTCCCACAATTCTTATTTAATTGGTTCTTTTCTCTGTTAAACGTGAATTAATAGGTCAGGATTCTGACCCTATTGCTGTGCCACTTAACTTCTTCTTTTCACTGTACAATAGCAAAAAGTCTGTATATCAATGTAAAAAAAAAAAATAAAATTCTTTCATTCCCACTGCGCCCAGTATTTCCTGACTATACTATTAAAGAAGTTATACTGGGTCATTTTAGGTACTTTCCAGCATATAGTCTCACTTTATAATGTTACAAAGGCTGATCATAACTTTAAGGTCAAAAAAGCTCATGAATATTTCAGCTCAAATACTCACATATTTCTAGAAAATATATTACCAGCAAGATTGCTCTATTTACTAAAGAGATTAAAGAAGCTGGCAAGTGTCCAGTCCTTTCCAATATAGATTGGAGGCTTACTGCCTCAGCAGTCTGTAAAATCTTCCACTAGGTGTCAATTTAGTTTTACTTCCTCCCTTTAAGTAAAACAAAATTTATCCTCTTAATTCAAAGAGTTTTAGGTATGGTTTTGCTCAAAGCCACTCTTGCAATAGTATTCACCTGTGCTACCAGTGGCAGTTCAGAAACCAAAATTCAAGTGAGGAGAAGCTGTATTTAGCATAATGCTCTCAAGCCTAATCAAACAAAATAATAATAGTTTTTGATAAATTGGCCAATTTTCCTGCTTATTATGTGATTATCCCAGAAAATGAACTGTGAATTGCACGTTCTGTACAGTTTGCTGTAAAAGTCATTTGATCAAGCAATTACTTGACCCAATAATGTTTAGTAATCTTTTTTTAATTCTACTCTCAGTTTAAGGACACTCCAGTAATTGAAGATATACACTTGACTTTCTAGTCTTAAATCACAACACTGAACATTAACCCACCATCCAACTGGCACAATCCAAGCCAAGTAAGAAATTCAGTGGGTATATTTTTGGATGTTGTCGTGTGTCTCTGTGAGAGTAGGCTATAGTTCAAGGCTTTCTGCACTGTCTGTGCAGCAGCAGGTCTGCAGGTACCACCAGGGCACAACTTTTCAACCAGTCTCTGGCAAAAGGAATTGTGTCTTGTGTCAGTCACAGTGTTCTACTTCTTCACCTGCAAATGAGTACCTCTCCTGTCAGTTTTAGACTTCCCCGAGTGCTGTGCTGGACTCTCACTCATTTTATAGCTCATCATAGTAGTGTAAGATAAAAGCATGACCTTTCATGGCCACTTTAGTCTAATCTCACTTACATAGAATCACACCTGCTTGTATTTGAAGGTCACAACTAGTGACATTACAGTGTGCTCTGAGAGTCTCTGATGCATCTCTTAATTTTGACAAAGCCCACTTCCCTGGCAGCATAAAAAGCCTTGACCAAAGGTTTTGTGGAAATGGGTGTAGAGGGGATACTGTGACTTTGCTGGGAGTTTTTCCTCAATGGTTGGTTGTTTGGTTTTTTCCTCAATGACCACTTTAAGCTGAAGGTGCTTTTGAGTACAAGTGCTTTGTTTAGTATCAGGTTCCAGACAGCTGTGATTGCAAAGGCTTTTCAGAAGGGTTCAGATCCTGTCTGGCATGTTCAACCTTTAAACTCCCTTGGCTTCATATACAGTGCAGCAATGAGGCTCCTCTAATTTAAACCAAACACTGAAATATCCCTTAATGGCCTTGTGTTATCAACAAGAAGTTGGCATAAAACCCTCCTTACCCCCTCCTTTCAGAAGAACTGAACCTCTGTAATTCAGGAAAGGCTTTTTGGAAATGTCTTTGGCAGTCAGGATTGCTGTGCCAAGACTGCTACCTTTACATTTACTTTGGAAAAATGTAGTTTCATCAAAATAATTTCTTGCAGGACTATTTCCATCCCAACTATACTGTTGACAGATATGTTTGCAAATGTTTCAATAAAAAAAAAATCCATGAATTGATTTTGCTTGCATTTTCACATTGTCTTTTTCATTTCCTTTTATTTTGACAGACTATTATGCTATATTTTCAGTTTTAATGTTAAATTATCATTTCAGTATTTCAAGATTATGAATTTTTCTCCAAAGTAGGACAAAATAAAATGATGAAAAGTCAGGCCATGCAACAAGATGGAAATTCTGTAACTGGTTTCATGTTCCCATCTGTGCTTCTGAGCTCCAAGAACCTGATTCAGAGCCCACCAAAACAAATGGCAATCTTTCTTTCAAACTGAATTATTTCAGTCTCAATTTTAAGACCTAAGAATTTTCAAGAGTTGCATTTTATTCCTCTTTTAATTTTAAATATTACTGGTGTATCTTCTATGAAAACCCAACTGGCAGGAGGAAATGTTCACTTAACATCCACATTTAACCCAACATGAGAAAGTGAGAGGGCTCCCGTTTTCTTCTGTGATGTAGAGAGTGTGTACTGGGGAATTGAATGTGGAGCTGAGATGAAGCAAAGAAGTGACCTGGTCACAGGTCAATATTCAAGTATGATGCTTCAAGTGGTTCAGTGTTGGCTCTGAGCACTCTAACAAGTTCTTGGTGCCACCAGTAGAAGAGTTCAAATCACCTCCCCTACTACACTTGCATGAACCTGTCTGGCTATTCAAGGTAACACAGGCAGAAGTGATAAGATATTATCACAAAGGGCTTCCCTCATGCTTGGTGTATTCATTGAGTGATAGTTCCATATATGAGGCTGGAAGTTGCTGCTCTGAGACTAGTGGCTAAAGCTCTAGAGATTCTCAGAGCTTGCCTCAGGGACAAGCCCTCGAGTTGGCTTCTCCCCCTGCCTCAAAAACTTTTTGGTGGCCCAAGCAAGCCCGTTCCAAAGATCACAAGACAGTTTCTACCATACTGGCAGTGAGTTAAGTTCATGTGCTTCTCCCAACTTAGCAGCCTTGGAACTGAGTCTTCTGTAGTGTATTGTGAATTCAGCAGCCGTGAAAATTGTGACAGTAGTTTTTTCATGCTTCATGCATTTTCCACCCTATAAAATCATTTATAAAGAAGAAATAAGGTGGACAGGTGTTTTAAGAAAACCCTCTTGGGAAATTTCCAAACAGCTGGAATACAGAAAGACAGGCATTCCATCAAAAATAACTTCTATTGTGAACACATTTTCACTGTGCTTGCCAAAGAGAATGGTGATGCAAAGTAAAAATAATACCAGGACTCCTTTATAAGTTCTTTGGTTTCCATCTCAAAAGAGGTTTTGTCTTATCATGTTAACATCACTTTAATTAGAGCACTGGTGCTCCTAAGGAAGCACAAATAACTGCAGGACTGTGTTTCATACACATGCACAGCCATCAGAGGTCAGTGCAAGTTCGTTCATCCAAGCAGCTTTAAGGTCCTTTATTCCTCCAATTTTACACAGCAAGTTTTTGCTAAACATGACAATGATCCTTCATGTCTAGGACATCTTACTAGGAAAGAAGATGTTTTGGAAGAGTAAGAAGCTACACAAAACAGTGTAGCAGGAAAAGCACCACTTAATGTTTGTTCTAGTTTTGGAAGTGTAACTCAGCAATTGCTGAAGGACTGGAGTGGGTGGAATAGCTATACCAAGTGCTCTTCCAGATTTTGGTTAATGCCTGTGCCTCCTTGAGATCTGTTTGACATTAACCCTACTGATTATGAAACAAGCTGCTAAGAGGGAGCCCCAGGACAGCTACAGCAAAGAAGCCTCCACCTTGCAATGTGTTTTTTTCAGTGGCTTATTTGAGTCCTGTATTAATGGGTCACAGCCAAGTGCACTCTGAAAAAATATCTAAATAGTCTTCAGTTAGAGAACATAAAGGTTTGAAGGCTACATTCTGTGGATTTATAACTGATTTTACAATATGCTGTATTTATATAAAAAAAACCCCAAACCTATGCTATAAACCACTAAAAATCGAAAGTGTAACAAAGCTCTCAGGAAAAAAAGGTTCAGGAAGATCTGAATTTATTTCCCCAAACCAATACTTATATCTATATCCTTCTACATCTGTTTCACTGAAAATGTTGCCCTAAAGGAACATGAATAAAATTTTATTTGTCTATAAGGTGGGAGAGTGAAAGAAAGACAGTGAATCTAGTGGTCTATGTCCCTGCTGCAGAAAGGGGCTGAGAATCTCTGTTATGAATCTGGCAGAGAATGGATTTGAACTTCTGTCTCCCACTATGAAAATGGTCTACCAGTTATGGGATCTTTGCCCTCTAGAAGAAAAAAAAAAGGGTTATTAGAATAAATTTAAATGTTTAGGAAAAAAACTTTCTAAACGGTTTTGGGTTTGACCCAAAAGAAATATTGAAACATAGAAAAATTCTATGAAATATGATTTTTCATTCCCTGGACAGCAGAAATAATAATGTGAACTGCTTCTTATCTGTAACTAAGCTATGAAAATAAAATTTGAGTGTAGAAGGTCAGTTGAAAATTAAAAATGCAATTTATTAACTTGATTTTATTGGAAGAAACACTGAAACTCTGTCTCGGAGGACAATAAATATTACAAAATGCTGCACAGCCAGAATCGCCAAGGCTTCAGGTTCAGCATGGATCTCACTATATTGGTTGTTTATCTTGAAGCCTGGTTCCCACAGCCATTTATCATCTGCAAGTCTCAGCTTTCATTTAGATACCATGTTGTTGTCTTAGTGGCTGTAGAGGACCATATGAAAAGACAAAAAAGCACCAACTCAAGTGCTCCTCTACTGTCATTAAAAAAAAAAGAAAAGTATGAAGCTGATCTCACAAAGTCCCATTGCTCCAGGAGCTGGGGCTACGGGAGAAAGCATTAAATGCCATTACACTCATGATAAAGCTGTGCCAGTTGGCAGTACTGAGTGTGGGAAGCGAATCCTCTCCCACTATCCAGCTCAAATGTGACTCCAGGAAACACATAATAAGAGAACCAGCATCGAACTGACTAGAAAACCTTCATAGTCCTGGTGAATGATTTGGGAAATACCAGTATCTGACAAAATACAGATCAAACGTTATCACAGATGCTGTGAGGTGTAAACAAAGACTGAATAAGGCAGAATCCTGATTTTTGTTGCCACATCAGCTACTGTTAACCTAAAAGTCTTTGCTTTTTAGTGGTGTTCACTCAGTAATAATTAGCTGTCTCCTGCACCATTACAGTATTGCAAAACAACTTGGATTTTACTGAAAGTGATGCTGAGTGACAGAGATAGTCTGTGAGGTCTTAGGAAGGCCATGACAACCTTGGAAAGAAGATTCCCTGGAATCCAAACTGTAATCACATTTAATGATCATGATTTGAGAAATGTTACAAGAGTTGCCAGGAATTTTGCTGTATCTTATAAATTATTATTCTCAGCCTTACCTTTACACTGTGAACAGGTGTATTGATTTGACTGGAAATACCCAAAGTACACATGGACCTGCAGGAAGGCAGGGATGTTTGCAAGAAAAGCTGTGGTGTTCTGGGAGTGACTAGTTTGTTAAAAAGACTTAAGTTAAAGGTGTTCCTTGTAACCAAAAGGTCATGATAGCGAACAGTGGTTTGAGTTCTTGTGAAGTCCACTCACAATTCTAATTAAGTATAAAAAAGGAAATATGTGGTTGATTTTCTTGCTGTTCTATACTATAGGACATTTTGGATTTATCTTTAATTATACTGCTTCCTGAAGTTAATTAAAGTATTGCCCTAAGCATCATGTGGAAGGTGGGTTTGGTCTGAAATTTCTTGTGCTTGATGTCAGGGTGAATATCTAACTTTCTTATCAAGTTTCAGTAAGAATTAAGTTTGTAAGAATACAAGTGAATTTAAATTAGGCCTAGATAGATCCAGGTATAAATCTTAATCTGGACAGAGTGCCTGGAGTCAGCAGAGCCCTGTGAAAGCACATGGGTCTTCTTAAGGAGAAGGCCATGACTCACTGCAGAGTAATCACAGGATTTTTTGATTTCCTCTCTAGATATTGTTTTTACACAGAACTGCTGATTGTGTGTGTGTGTGTGTGTGTGTGTTTGTCCCTCTGTCTTAAACATCAAAATACGGATCTGGGTGATACTGAACGTGTTGCAAAAGTATTACATTTTCCATTGTTGAGCAATTCTGGTTATGTCAGAGAATATTCTTGAGATATCCTTTAGTCAAACTCAAATCACTAATAGAGCATCAGGCTTCAGACTAGTAAAGTGCCAAACTGTCTCAGGAAAACTGTACTAGTCTTGAATTTAATGATTCTAATCTTGAATCTCATGATTAGTGGTATATCCCGGCCTCGGAAGTCTATTGGTAAAGATGTAACTTCACAGTGATTTAAAAGGGTAAAAGCAGTATCAGAATTCTGGAATTCTTCTGTGACAAAGGGTAGCACATCCTAAATTGGCTGCTAGAACTGACAAATGTTGGAGTTTGAAGCATGGCAGTTGCTGTGGGAAGGGAAGGAAAGGAGGAGTAAGGGCTTTTTCCTGGTATTTCTTTCACAGAAGTACAATAGTAAACCTCATTTTCGAGAAGTTCTTCCAACAGTTCTCAAACTTTGCTCCACTCCTTTCCTCTATACACCTGTTTTCTGTGGAAACAGAGTCTATTAAGCGTCTCCCCACCCTGCTGGGGGTCTTGCTCCTCTATCCTCTACAGATTGGTGGGTGTACAACAGCCAGGCCCCACAGCAAAGGGGACAAGCTGAAGCTCTGGACCATCACCTGAGCCAAATGAAGACCTTCCACCAGCACTGCCTTTCCCATGGTGAGTGCATGGCACTGCAGGGAGGCTGGAGTGGGGGATCCAGCCATGTGGCATAGTCCAAGGGACCGGGGTGGTACCAGGAATAGGTCTGTCCTGTGGATGAGCATAGGAGGGAACCAGCTCAGGTGCTGGAAACCTTGGCAGAGCCTTTCCTGCTGAGTATTTAGTTTTTGCCTGTCTCAGTCACAAGTCTTGACTCATCTCTGTTCCATTTAGCAGAGAAAAGGAAGAGAAGGAAACCTTATGAAAAGAAACATTAATGCTGCAGTAAAAATCTCTGACATCAGCTGCTGCTTGCCAGCTCAGTGCATAACAGGTGAAGGAAAGAGCTACTCCAGGTAAAAAGACTGTTCCAAATGTCTGTTAGCTACAATGAAAGTGCTGGAAATGAAGGACATGCACTAAACTCAGAGCAAGTTGTAGCTGATCACTTAATGGCTTGAAATTTTAGCAGTGTTGAAAAATCAGCCCTCTATCCTGGGTTACAGTCTCCTGTACAGAAAAGGTTGCTTTGAAATCCACTGAGGGCAGTAGGCTGCTAAATGTAGCTGGAATAGTCACCTCCCAGGCTAAGGGATGAATAGCTGGAGAGTGGAATGAGACCTGCCTAAAAGTACTCTAAGGCCCGACTTGCCTGCCCTTCTCCAGTGATATGCAGCTTTGTTTGACATAAGGATTTGTTTCGAAAAAGAACTGCAGAGACTGGAAAAAAGTGACATTTGATTCCAGTTCTTTACTGAGGTCTGACAAACTTACCTTGTGTAATATTAAAATTAGAGATTACATGAAATACAAAAATGAACAAACACCACAGAAAAGAAGCTTTAGTTTTCTGATGTCTTGGCATGAGAGTTGAAAGACTCCAATCCTAAACATGAGTGAGTTTAATGAAAATCTTGTGACTGAAACTAATGTGTTGAATAGGACCCGTTGCTCTGGGAAACCTTCAAATGATTTTGTTCTATACTATATGCAACAGCTTTGAGCTGAACTCTTGGACACCTGGCTCTTGAAACATGGCAGTGTTTTTGGAATACCTGAGTGTGTTCCTAAATCTTCTGTAACAAATCTAGGTTGTTTCAGACTTGTACGCTAATTCTTAAATACAAATTACTCCAAGTAAGGAATAACATTTTATTTTGTTTTGAAAATTGTATAACGTGTTTAAATATAAGTCTTAAACCAAGTTCAAAACCACCTGTCTCAGAACTCTGTAAATTTCAAAAATTCTTGGAATAATTTTGTAATGTTGCCCTTCCTGTATTTGGCAACAATTTCTGTGATGAATTTTTAAACACTCACTCACCCTTTCAGCCTCCTGTCTGACCCTTGGTGCCTCTTCAGAGCCCCATTGACTTGAGCGAGGCATGGAACTGAGAAAGAACTGCAGCTAAGTCTGCCAAGAAGGGGCAAAACTCACAATAGTCAAAATAAATTCTGCACAAGTGAAAATAGCAAAAAAATGGATCTGGAAAAGCTTTTGAATATTTGTAGTAAGTAGGTAGAGTGAACAATATTTTGGTTTCTTCCATCGGTTTGACAGGGTAGGCTAAAAATAACTAATGTCAACCATAGTAAAATAGTACGAGGCAACTGAATGAAAAATTTTTTAGTTTTTATAAGGCAACCCAGCTATCAGTTCTTTACCATAATAAATGGCAATAAGTACAGGTTTTGGGATTTTGGTTTGTTGTTTTTTTTTTTCCTCTTGACCTGTATTTCCCTAGGATGGACAGAACTGAAATGATCAATAACAAAACTATAGGCAATGACAACAGGAAATGAGACTACAGAGAGCCCATGTATGGAGTCACATTTAACACAATAATCTAATTCTGTGTAATGCCTTGAAATTATTTGTTCACTGGCAATGGGGAAGGCAAATAATCCCCTGTATCATTTACCTATGTTTAGTAATGCTAATAAAAAGGTTTTGAAGCATAACTACTACTTGGATGAGTATTGACCTCATTGGGTCACTGAATGAGTAAGAATTGCAAAACGGAACCGCTTGTTAGATTAAAAAATGGAGTATTTTGCAATACTTTTTTTTTTTCCCCTAACTGAGTAGCATTATTAACTCTCATCTGGGCCTGTGTAAATCTCCTGCTCCTGGAAGCACTTAACAATTACATTCCAAGAACAATAAGCAATAAGTTCTAACTTTTGTGTGGAATCACTTTGTAATTTCCTGTTCAGAGCCTGAAATTTCATCATTAAACACAGGTTAAAGCCACGTATGTTTTGTTCAGTTTTATTAGTAACACTAAGGTGATTTTTCTACCTGGTTAAGTATCGGTTATCTTAATGTTCCAGATGCCTGTAGCTAAGAACCACTTGTCTGAATCGATGTGGTGATGACACAGAGAAGGAACAGATGGCACAGAGTTGTCTCTGCTCCATTCATCACGTCAACAACTGGAAACAGTGACAATACCACACTGGCTTCTTGCAAATTATGGAGCTCAGCAAGCAAATTAGCCTGACTGGCAGGAGGTCTCAGAAAAGTAGACTGAAATCTGCCTTGGACAGCTATGGAGATCACATCACTGCTGAAAGAGGTCAGGACTAAAATGTCCCAAGAAAGAGATTATTGCCTCTACCTGATGCTTGTAAAGTTTTTTTTAGCCTTTGGCTTGGCTTGGCTGAGTAGTTCTACTGACTTCACTGGGTCTACTACCTGACTGAGTTTTTTATTTAAGGAGTAAGAATTGCAGATTCAACTCAATCATAAATTTCCAGATAAGAATGTAGTAATGGCATGATACTTGTAATTGGAAGAAGCTAGAGCAAAGGCTTTTATTTGTGTTTAATGTTGGATTTTTGCAGCAGACTTACTGTCATTCTTTTGGTCTTGGTGCCATTTTTGTATTGCTGTTGGTTTTGTCTAATTATGACATTCTAGTCAGATATATTTTATTTTTTTATCATAAAATGAGGACAGAACTGTATCGGTTTTGCAATTTGTAAAGTCTTAATCCTTCTAAGGAAGTCAAGGTGCTACAAACGTTCCGGGGTTAAGTACAGATTCCTAATCAGATATGTGTATCATATATCAATCATATATATATCAGATAAAAAATCCCAACAAATCCCTGATGTTATGAGTACTCACAGCTTACTGACATCTGGATACACTGAGAGAACTGGTTCTGGTAATATTGCTTAAGAAACCAGGGTGACGGTATCTTTATGTGCTTATGGCTTTCCATTGTCCTGTCATCCTACTGCACATCGTGAAAGAATATGAAGGTGCAGAGGTGGCAGGAGCCAACCAGGCCAGCCCCAGGGCTCTGCAGGTGATGGACCTGCCAGACACAGAGGAGCCCTGCCTGTTGTGCCATGCCCTCCCTGTTGCAATGCTGGTTGCGTGCATCCACCCGTGCCACAGTTCTGAGGCGCTCTAGATTATTCCCTGACCAATATCCAAGCATTTTGTACATCCTTCAAGTTGTGCAAGGGCACTTGAGGGGATCTGTCAGCACTGAGGTGCAGTTTCACAGGTGTAGTGGCATATCCCTACTTATTCCCGCATACGTATTGGCAAGAGAGGGTTTAAAGAAGCAAACATGGATTAGCGGGTATTCCATGTGAACATTTAGGAAATTTAGCCTCTAGCCAGTGCTGGTGAAATGTGGATGAGTCTCAAAAGACATCCATGGGGATGACTGACCAGCTGGTGGCTGGTACTTGCTGTTGCTTGTGTTGCTTTGTTGTTGTGGTGTCTCCCTGTTAGTTCATTTATTTCAGACTCACTGGTGTTGTTATGTCGAAGTCGTTTACATATCCGAGGCAGGAGTTGCCTCTGACATCCATGTGTCCACATATATTAAATATAAAAATAAGTCTTCAGTGGTACACAGAATTTATAAAGTGGATTTCTGTTGTGAGAGAAGTGACTGGGAGAGCCAGAAGGATTTTTTACTGTGTACTCCACTACTGGAGCATGCTCTGCTGCCTATTTAAACATCATTAGAATCTTGACTTTTAACAAAGGAAAAGACTCAGGCTCCCAGTTTTTTCAGCTTCTGTTTGACTTTGCTGTCTGTCTACTGAAAACAAGCATGAAGCTACCTGATGTCTTTGTATAAATCCTTATTGTTTCATGTGGCATTTAAATGTGCATCTGTCATGAACTGAAATTATCACAATCTTGCAATGAGATTGCAAGACCGTTTCACAACTGTGCCATAACTAACTGTACTCTGAGATGAGTAGGAATCCTGCAAAATCATTCTGGCTTATGACATGACAGCTTTCTGGGGATGAGCTCTCTTGCGTTCTTGCAACATTTACTTTTTTTATTGGTAGGTAATCCAGTACTGCCATTATAAATGGGGACATTGTGGCCACTCCGATTACCCTACATGTCTGACTGGGCCAGAAGTCTAATGGCAGGTTAGATGTTTTTGTCCCCACTTCTTGAGTGCATCAGCAGAGTTCAGCCTTTTATCCTGTCCTTTTTTGTAACAATGGGGGTGCAATAGCAGAAAAGTGATTTTCTTTGAACACTGGGAGGCTGCTTAGACAGAGCCCTACACCTCCCTTTTCTCTCTGCCCTGTTGTTAAACCTTGGTTAATTAACTGCGTATATTTTTCTTCACTTTTGCACCATGCTCCTCAGCAATTTGTCTCAGAGCATTTACAAAGGATTTAAACCCTTTTATCCTGTTTTCAAGAGGTGAGTTGGTGAAAATCCAATGGCATTAACAGGATAATGACAAAGCAAGGAGTAAAACCTAGAACCTGGGAATTCATTGGTGGTTTTCCTACGGATTTATAGTGATTGTAGTCACGTCTTGCAAACTTTACTAGCATCTTTGTAGAACATGGTGTGTGGTCTGCTAGTAACCTTAAAAATTCACCATCTTCTTGCCAATGTATGAAGGGGAACCAGTGCCCAAGCCACTAGAGAGAAGGGCACATATAATCTTAGTAGGATTGGTGTCCTCTGCAGTTAAATACACACAGTTCTTGTACAGTCGGCATAGCAATTTTTTTCCCATCCACTTCCCAGAATGGTAAAAATAAACAGGGTATTGCTAGTGGTGGTTTTGGTGTTGCAAAGCACACAATTATTGAGTCCTTCCTCCAGGGTCCAGGCAGCATAGACTCTCGTATGTTTGAGGGATAGATTTAGGTGCAGGTAACCAGTAGAATGATAGATATGTATATAGAAATCTGAGTAATACATGGCTTTGAGTAAGATGGAGTTCTGAAGGGCAAAATCCAATTTATTTTTTTTTTCCAGGAGAAATACCACATTCTGTTTACAGATCCTTTCTGTGTATTTGGCCAGACTTGTCCCTTCTATAAGTCTTTTGCTCTGAATGGAATCAGGACAAGAATTTTACTCAGCCTCTAGTGGTATTTGTTTTGTGAGCACTGGCTTTTAGACCATGGTTAACAGATACTCAAAGGACAGCTCTTCTCTGAGCTTTTTTTAATTGCTCATTTAAATTCATATTTAAATGCAGTTTCTTTTTTTTTAAGTGCTATTTGTTTGTGATCTGAAATGTTCTAGACATTGAAAACTAGAATTAATATAACGTATTTAATTCACTATTTTATTCATGTAAGGTCACTGGTATTTCATGGGCCTTGAAATAGATAACAAGGGCAGATCTAGAGCCTGGGACTGGCAACAGAATTTGCATTATCTGAACTGTTATCTCATTGGAGATTCCACCTCCCTCATGAACCTAATTGGAAAAAAATATAAGAGGCATATGAGATGTTAATTATATCGCTTTGTGCCCTGGAAGGTGTGGAGCCTGTTGGGAAGCACACCTGGCAGAAGTTCCAGCTGGGCCACGGGACCAACTCTGGTAAGTGTTCCTGTCCTACCTTTTTCACAACAGGGTGAAGTAACTGCCTGAGCAGAGGGCATTTTTTACAGATATTTGATTTGCTGTGGCAATCAAGGACATAATTGCCAAATGAGAAAGCATGGTGGGAAGGGGTTGCCAGGTGCAGAGCGAATGCCTTATGTTACCTTGTTCCATTTGTCAGCATGCCACAGGTTACAGGTATACAGGGAAGTATTACTAACCATTCTTCCTGCCTACTTCTGGCTTATCTTCATCTCAGTCTCATCTTTTCCTTGCAGATATGAGCTCTTAGCCCTTTATGACCAACAATTTATTTTGTCACTACATATTCACGATTCATTTGAAATGTATGGCCAGTCGCTCATTTGAAATAGAGTTATCCTTACAGATGCCTTAATGAAGCCTAAACAAGACTGATTCACACAGAAATGAGGCATTCTTGCCTAGGAAAAGCACCAAAAAGACAAAACCAAGGAAATCTGAATTCTGATGCTGAATCTGGTGTAATTGTGAAGCAAAATGTTTTTGGTGTTCTTCTGTTTCTGTGTCATTTTAGTCAGTTAAGGGAATATTTTCTTGACCCAAACTACTACTTCCAGTCTTATTAACTGAAATACTAAGTTCTTTCCAATGATAAAACAATCAAGTCTAGTTATGGATGGACTGCTTTTTAAATTGTGCTACTCTATAATATATCCTGGAGGGTTTCTGCAGTTCTTTAGTGGAAATCTCTGGATGGTATGAAATGAGGTGAAATGGAGAAGGAAGCATATACAGATATTTCTTTTAAAGACAGATCAGTTTAGATCTCTCTTAAGCAGGAAGCAAAAGCTTTCCAGCACATTGAAAACTCTCACTTTGCAAATCACTTTGAAGAAGAAAATATATTTTAACAATTTAATAGGTGTCTAAGACAAGTTTACAAAACCAACAGTGTTTCCCTGTGTACTTTAACAGTGCTTCATTTAACATTTAATCTCCTGCATTTTCCACATACTCAAGTTGTAGGCTGTTTTTTCTACAAATCGCTTACATTTCATTGCCAAGATGGCACAGTAATTTTTTCTAATTAAAGTACTTCAATATTTCTATTTTCCCAGCCTTTCATCCTAATTGTTTTTCAAAATTGATATTATTATACAGCTTTCCTTTAATCTGTCTCCACACTAATTTTAATTTTGAAAGGAAGGGATTCTATTAAATGCTACCAGAGATGCCTCTACCTTTATGCTTCATCACTAAAATCTTAAACATGAGAATTTGGTTCAGCAAAGACAATATATGTATTTCCACAATAAATAAACTTTTGTCTTAAAAGATGTATGGTAGTCCCCCTTAGTAGTTTCACATGTGATTAAAGCCTGACTTGTTTTAAAACTAAATTAATCAACTTTATAAAACTCCATTTCTTGTTAATTATAATAGCATGCCATTTATCCAGCTACTGGCTAAACTGAGTTTAAAGGGACAGTTCACTCAGGTGAATACCTGTGCACGTGTCTGTAGGATGGAGCCAAACATAATGTTTCTAGCTCTAGATAAATTTTCATCTTAATATCAAAGTGTTTTCCATTTCCTTGCAGAGTTAATAATGTCATTATTAAGATAATAATCTATCACGTCACCTCTACAAGATATTTTTCAAAAAAGGGAAAAAAGTCTTTCTGTTCTACTCAGAGCAATTCTACTTTTTTCATCTCAGCAAGACGAACCCTGTAATTTTAAAGATTACTCTGTTTAAATCTGAAAACATTTTGTTAGTTTAAATGGAATAAAGGAACGTTGAGTGTAATTCGGAGAAGAGAAACATGATGTTTCTCCACTGGGAGGTATTTAGGAGGTGATGTATCTTTAAGTGTCTCCGCCTCTGAATCCACCCACTTCTTGATAGCTGCAGCAGCCTTGTTGACTCACAGGAGCCGTGTTCGTGCAATAGCCAGCAATGAGCAGTATTTTTCAGAGATTTTAGGAGCACACCTCTGCTATGTATTTGGCATTCTAGCTCACTGGAGCTGAAGGTGTATGAAAGAAAGTTTTACGTTTCGAAGATATTGCAAAAGATAGTTCCTCCTCTCATCCTGGAAAATCCTGACGGACCAGTTGGATACCTTTCAGGCCTTAACCAAGAACTTTATCTTCTCATCCCACTGTCTTTTTTACAGTAGAAAGACCTGAGACACCCTTAAGAACTGAGAATCTGACTAATTTAAACAGATGGCTAATCCCAGTGCTGTCTGCAATGGGCACCTACATCATCATCATCAGAAACAGAACAACCTCTTAAAAAGTGGAATCTATAAGAAAAATGGAATTACTAAAGGAATGAAGGTAAGGTTTGACTGTTTATGCTAATTGCCTCAACACTGAAAACAAATAGGTAGTTGCAACATTGTTTATTAAGCTAGGTTTACAGCAGTCTTAGTCTCCATTGAACAGGATGTATGGATTAAGTTTGTGTAAGTTTGTAATCATGGGACCTAACACTGCTTTTGTCTATCCTTCTAAACTGCAGAGAATTGCAAATGCTCATGCAAATACTGTTGGTTCCATGGACTAAGCCTGTAGTTCCTATCAAACACAAGAAACACCTGCACGCTGAAATGTAGTAGCTTCCTTCTAAAGCTGAACTGGTGGTGGAGTTGACTTTGCAATGTATTAATCATTAGTGGAAAGCTGTTTTGTCAACTTAAAGTGTGTGTGGATTAAAGTGTGATTTGTTGCTGAACATGTTGCTGAACAAGAATAACAAAACGTAGGCAGGGAAAGCTGCCTTTTCTTGATGTTTACATTACTACAAGGTTGGTTTAGCTCATGCTTGCACTTACCTGATGCCTGCTCTCCAGCCCTGTACTGCTTAAAATCCAAGGCAGTTTGCTTGCTGTTTTCTGAAGCTGTTCCCTTTGAAGCAGCACTTCTCACTTATGTGAGCATTTTGTGGGACGGTTGGCATGTAGCATCCTAAAGAATGAACCACAAAATCAACTTTGTTGAGCCCAAATCTTAGAGGTTGTCTTTCTGCAATACCTGCTCTGACTGGGAACTCACAGTCTGTCTTGCAGTGTCCCAATTCTGGATCTTGATGTGATCATTAGTAGAAAGCCTTGTAGTGACTAGAAAAGGGCTGGCTTTGCAGCATGGTGTGATGGTGAGAGGGGGATGGAGGAGGTTGCTTTTGGAGCCTTAGTGCTCACCTGACCATGCCAGTTGGAAGCTCTAGACAAGCACTGTGGTGAGGGCTCCGCTGTTTTACAAATAAACTGCTATCTTCTATCTTTCTCTAAATGGGGCTCTCACACGCCTCAGCACTGTAATGAAGGCACGCCCAGTGTCATGCTTAATGATTGTCTGGCTTTAGGTGTCTCCCTTGGTATGAGTGTTTCCCAATCATTGGCTTGTGCTGGATGAGGAAAGCAAAAAAGTTTGTGCAATGATTGAAAAAGGCCTTTCTTGGATTTGCTTCCAGAAACCTAATCCAGCATATTTTTACATGTCACATCTACCTTCCCGTTGCTTTATACATTAGCTATTTGCTTCAATGATGTTCTAAATCTTTACTTTCCATTTGAGTGACAAATTTCAAGGACTAAGCTTTGCTATTCAGTTACTATTAACTTGCTGCAAATGAGTGATTTTGAAAGCAGTAGACTCCCAGGAGGGGATTAATTAGGATTTCCTCCTTAATAGGAAAGCGAAGTAAAGTAAACAGCTAGAGAAGTAAAGAATAATATTACAGAGAAGGAAATTAATATTGGCCTGAAAGCAGTGGCAAAGAAAAGAAGGAATTAGTAGATGCCCCTGCTAGATTAGTGAAGTCTTACAAGCACTGTATGGTTGAAGGAGAAGGTGTTTTACCCTGCTGTGGGATGTGTGAAAGTAGCACTGAGCCACTAGTAAATACCATCCCTGGCTGAGGAAGTGGTGAGGAAATGAAGCCTTAGAAAGTTCAGGAGGCTTGTCAAAGGCATATTTGGTAAGTCTGGGTCTAGCACTGTGTTTCAAGTTACGTACCATTTCCCCTTTCTCGCTTCAAACACAGATTGGGAAAGTAGGAAACAATAACAGACAAGAGTGCTGCATGAACCAGGAATCTCATTCCTGGTAGGAATCTCCCCATTCCTGTCTGGTCTGTTTCCCCGCCCCAGCTGCCTCACCCTGCTCAGTGCTTATATGCTATTTTACAGGAACAGATACTGTTCCTTCCTCCCTGCTCTGTTTACATGCCTTGCTGCTGGAGGTGTGCAACTCCACACAGTCTTCTGGTGCATTTGTATTTGCAAGTCCTCACTGAGATGTGCTCCCACTTTACAGCTGGGATCTGAGGAGCAGGGAATATGGCAGCTGGGTGCACAAGGAAGCCTGCACAACACCCAGACTCAGGTTTCTCATAATTCCAGTCGTTCTCCTCCCTCCTGCCTCTTCTGCTCCTTATCCACCTTGCCCTGATTTCCCGTAACACTTCAACACACACACACACATATGTCCTTTACTGCTATTCAGTAAATTAATTGACCATTGAACTCTTTATATAGGAGAAATATAGTGCTAGGATATTCGGGGGATGTGACTGGATGCTGCTGGTTCTAGAACTTGAGACTCGTGGCAGTTCTGAAACTCTTAGGGTTAGTTACAGCTGTGTTGCTTTACAAGGAGGGGAGGAGGGAAACATGGTTTGAGAGAGGCACCTGGTGCAGAGGCTGCAGTGAGAGAATGGCACAGTGAAGGCTTCTAAGCCAAGATTATGTAGCAATAGTTGCACACAACTGACTGACTGGAACATCAGGCTTTGCAGAAGTCAGCTACATAAACCCTTTTTTTCCCAGGGAACCCACAGGAAGCACTGGCTTCAAGAAATGCTGGCTTTGGAAACACTGCTTTTGAAAACACTGGCTCAGGAACAATGTGTTTTGCATCTTAATGATGTAAGAACATTTTGTGTGTCTGCGCATGCATGACAGAAGTAGAGAAGCAATTCTGATACCACAAAACCCCCCAGGTTTCTAAAGAAAGGATTTTGTTTAATGGGTTGGGAAAGGTAATTAGGGATGATCAAATGTGGGGGAGTAGGGAAGCTCTTTGCTTCTAGGCTATGTGGCATACCAAGGACAGAAAGCAGGCAGCTGAGTGATAAAGAAGCGGTGAAGCATCCTACTGGAAGAGAAGTTGTTGCTTTTGGGAAGTGATAAACTGCTTTGGGGTGGGACTACTTGCTTGAATAGCTTCTGTGATTATTTTAAGTCTGACTCACTCAATTCTAGCTGATAGCACTGACTGTCATGTACTAAGGGACATCAGGCTTAACCACGTCCCTTCAGCCTTGCTGAATCCTGGCATTCTTTGGAAGCTGGGCCACAGTAAGACCTAAGCTTCGGGAGGTGGGTCATGTACTGTGTCTTACACTTTGTTAGTGCTTCTAACACAGTCAAATGCTTTGTGTTCTTCCAGAACCCATAGCCTGAACTTGCCTTTAGCCAAAGCACAGTTCAATAACTAACATACTTATTTATATAACTGTATTGACCAGGAGAAAATTTTTTCCTAGAGATGGTTTCTTTGCTGTTGTATTGCTGTTGACTGGGTGCCAATTATAGGGGACATTGGAGTTTTAAAATGACAAATGTATTTGTCCAGTGGAAACTTTTTTCCCTATAGAACACATGCAACAATTTTATTTCTTTGCTAGATCATTTCCTTGGATGCCTTAGCCTCCAAGACATTATAAAGTTATTCGCAAATTCATTATTTTGCTGTTCTGCACTCAGAATGGCAATGGCTTGTAAGAAACTTGCAGCCTTTTTCAGGGCTTTCAAGCTCCTTTCTGAAAGCAAAAAAAAGCCTGGGGTGAGGTCAAACCCAGTAACTTCTGTTCCACTTAGGTGATGGACCAAAAATGTGATGGTCTCTGTTTGGGGCCTGTACAACTCAGAAGATGTTTATATTTACTCTCTGTCCTGTGCCACCTGAAGCTCCTTCTAACTGTTCTACTCCACTATTGATTGAATATTCCAGCATCCAGTCTCAGTCCCTTCCATGCTTTTGGCTCCCTCAGTTTTCTTGCACGCCTTTCTGCCCTACAATGTCATTTATTCCCTAATTAAGATCTTAAAGAAAACATTGATTGTCTAACAGGAGAGTCATGAAAGGAATATGCCATGCAACTGTTCTCAGTAATTTTCTTACGTGTCGTAAAGGCCACCTGTAATTTCTTTGCTCTGTCCTCTCACAAATATAGACAGCACTTCATATGTTTTTGCAGAAGCCAGTGTAAATGGGGCATTTTGGCTGCAAACTCAATATAAATGTTAATGAGTCCTGCAGGAACAAAAATAAACTAATTCCCCCAATCAGAGTCATGCAATAAAGATTATTAATAAGGGACGAGTAAGGAGAGAGGGTTAAGCCTGATCAGGTTATAGCTTTTCCAACTGTTTGCAGCCTCAGTTGTGCAGCCATAATGATCTGCCAACATAAGAACCTTTTTCTGAAGTATCTTCACGTTTTGGTGTGGGTTTGGCTAAAAGCAACTGAAAGGGAACTTTATTGTGCCCAACCTGTTTCACCTGTGGCAGCTAAGGCTTTTGGACCTGTCCCATTGTGCATGTGTTCCTGGAAGGGGCAATCCCCATAAGCCCTCTGGGTTTCATAGCTGTAGTGACAACAGGCAAAAAAAAATTGAGACTTGGTTTTCAGGCAGATTCTCTACCAATTAGTACACCTGTAGCTTCAGCTGCACCACAGATATGAATGACCTCCTCATCCTCAGTCCCTGCCTTCTTTTCTCCTTGGTTTCGAGCCCCAGAAATGTGTTGCTTTGCACCTGCACTCTCAGCTAATAATCACAGGTCTCGGATCCACACCCTTGTTTCTGTCATCTGCCCTGCTATGTGATGAGCTCAATGCAATGGAAGCAGGAAACACTTCTGCAACCCGAAATGTCACCAGTGTGCAGGCACATGTAACAGTCACTGACTCTTGTAGCAATGCTCTAAGTGTGTTGCATGAGACTTTACATGCAAGGCTGAGATTTTTCACATAGCTCAATACCTAAGTTTCCAGTTAGCCCTGTTCACACTTGGAAATCTCTAAATTCATGTAATTAAATTTTGGAAGTTTAAGCCCTGATAAAAATAACATATAGTGATTTACTTCGGCTTGAAAGATTTAGCATGTCGGGTCTTTAGGGACAACCTCCTCTTAGTAACAGCTCGTCCTTCTACTCATGAAAACAAGTACATGTATTGGGAGACTGGCTTAGCTAAGCAGATAAAAGCAGACAACCCATGATTGAGCTCCAGTGCAAAATGAAAAAAAGGCGACATACAAGAGGTAGG